AGATCCCGCAAAAACTTGGATTCAATGCTCGATCTCAATATTCGATCTCGAAAAGCGAAGCGCATTGTTTCGAAGCTCGAGCCAGAAGGGCTGGAGAATCCCCATAAACTAATTCGTCCTTTATGTAAATCTATCACGTGACTTTAGTATCTCATGAATACATACATGCCGACTTGAGACTTTTTCTCGAAGCAAAACGAGTGCTTTGAAAATGGAGACTTTCAATTTTGTATAGAACGGTATAGAGCTCGAATAATTTCCTTCAAAAATAAATCGCAATTAGAAAGTTTTCAAATTTATCATTTTGTATTTATCATACGAACAAAAAGAAAAACATATAAAAGCGAGACTCGACCAAAGGTCTTTCGAAGTAAAAAGGAAAAAAGAAAATTTTGACGATTTTATGACTCATCGAGGAACAGTTATAATTCTTTGTTACGAGTTAGACGACGTCGAAGATAATAACGTGCAATAAAACATCGAACAATGCATTGTCTTTTCTTTTTCAAATGCCATTTCAAAAATATTTCAACTAATCCAACTCCTCATAAATTACTTTAAACTTTCACTTAGATTGCAAGGAGTTGTTTCGTTTGAATCCTATAAAATATCACCAAATACTTTTTGTATCCTTTCCTAATGTCCAAATATTTTTCCTATCAACGTTCTCGCTAAAGGTTCTTTAATATATTTATCTCATCCATGTAATTTCAGATCGAGAGTTTAGCGTCAAAAAGATCGATCGAATCTCTCGAATGTTTCATTTCCATCACAGGTGGTCGTGCAATGCAACGTCATAAACGTATTCATAGAGAGCTCTTAGAGGGAGGAAAATAGTTGTAGAAGTGTCAGAAGCGGGCAGCGGGGGTAGAGAGAGAGAGAAAGAAAGAGAGAGAGAGAGAGAGAGAGAGAGAGAGAGCAAAGGAGTGTCGCATTCTGTATGCAAAGTGCACGAGTCGAGGAGTTGCTTCCCCGCGTAGAAAAAAGGATATCGTAAAAAAATGCAAGGTTACCCACATTTCCTTTTTTATTCGGCCGAGAGCGGCTTCGTGGCTGGAGTCGGGGTGATGCCGAAGCAAGATGGAGAGAAAGAGGGACGGAACGAGGGAAGCTGAGCGGAGAAACGAAGGGATCTGTTCACGAGATAGAAAGACAGGAGGAAGGAGAGACAGAGAGAGAGAGCGAGAGAGAGAGAGAGAGAAGGATCGTTCCTTATCGTCCGATAATATCCTTTGCGATATTTTCTCAGCCCTTACTTAAGCGAATCGGTTATATTTCATCGAAAGTTGGATGAAAGGCAAGAGTTTATTGTATTATTACAAAATTAGATAATTCTCATCGTGCTATCTGAAATGACATAATGGAGACGCTACCATATTATTATATTGTTCGGACTAATTGAAGAATTTTCGTAAATATAAGGAAATGTAAAAAAACTCAACAACATTATTTGTTTTTTATTTATTTATTTATTTTTTTTTTTTCATAAACATAGAAAGACTCAGGCGAAAGACCTCAGTAGATGCGAGTTATAAGTCGGTCGATTTAGACTTTACAGGCGACAAGGTCAAACGAATCAAAGTCGCGAAGGGATTAAAGCGGAAGAATGGAAGGAGGTCGGTTGACTCCTGTGCTAACGTCGCTAACTCTCTTCGATCGAGAAACTCGAGCTTCGACCGTGGGAGTTTTCAAAAAATCTCACCCAACAAAGTTTCACGAGTGGCAAGGACGCTACGCGCTACGAGAAAGCATACATCACAGCTGTGCGAGGATTCTCTCCTGTCGCACGCGCACGCGCACGGGAGAAAAGATAGAACGAGAGGAGGGAATTGCTCTTCCTTGCGAGAAATAGAAGTGGAGGAAGAAGAAGAAGGAGAAGAAGAAGAAGAAGAAGAAGAAGAAGAAAGGATATAGAGGGAGAGATAGAGAAAACGACGAAGAAAGAGATGGAAGAGTCAGTGTAGTCCTGTAGGATCCTACATCGTCTTTCGAGACGACGATGACGACGAAGTAGATGTGGGAGCGAGAGAGAAGAGAGGGAGGTCCGGAACGCACGGAGACGGACTTGGTGGGGGTAAGGTGCGCTCGACGTCTCAAATTTGGTTGGCTGTCTCGAGGCGCTGCCAAGCGGTTCCCACTCTCTCTCACACACAACTCTCTCTCTCTCTCCCTCTCTCTCTCTCTCTCTCTGTCTCTGTCTCTGTCTTTGGCGCGCACTCCTCTCTACGAGGAGGAATCGCTGTAGATCGACCGTGCTATACCGTAGAGAGAGAAAGAGAGAGAGAGAGAGATAGACTCGAGAAGAACGAGACGAGAGTGGGAGTCTCGTAGTGGTAGGGCGACGTTCGGTGATGTAGAATGAGAGTGAGGGGTAGAGAGAGAGAGAGAGTGGATAGAGGGAAGGCGGTAAAAGAAGGAAAGGAAGGAGGAGTGGGGTGAGGCGGTGGGGAAGCAGCGGCGGCGGCAGCGCCTTGGCGCGCGAGCTACTAGAGTACTCGAAACTCTCGAATTCCAACCGACAGAAGAGTGCCGGCTCTCGTACGAAGCGGGCATGGATATCGTTTGAGAGTGAGTTCAAGTAGATACGCATAGAAAAATAATAGATGGTGTACCCAGTGAGCATGAGAGGGACGCACGATAACGATTTGTGGACTATCGAGTTATCCACCAACGTCTTTATCGAAAGATAAAGTAATTACGATTGGTGATAACGATTTAAATCCACATCATCGTCGTCGTTCTCATCATCGATATATTCGTCATCGTCAACATTGGTGCTTTCGGTTTTAATATTCGTCGCGCTTTCGCTTATACCTTGGTGTTTCTTACGGCTTTCCAAAGTGTGTTAGTGCATCAAGGATCAAAAGGAAAATATAGAGACGATAGTCGTGAGTGATACTTTCGACGGTCGCGGCTGCGGAGGGGATGGATTGTAGCGGCACAGTGAAGGTCAAAGTAAAAAGTGAAGCAACATCGTGACAACCGATGGTCCAGCTAAGGGATCGTACTCGTCGAACTGCGCGACGGAGTCGCCGCTTCGAGATCATCGATAAAAAGGAAACCTTAAATATGTGAGAAAGATTCCATGAGAAAGAAAGAACGTCTTCGCATTTTGTCTCTTTTAAGTAATTATCATTTATTTTTTCTTTATCCCTGTTGTTTTTTTAGTTCCATCTTTATTTTCCTTTATTTTTTCAATTCCGCGACTTTTTTTTTTTTTTTTCAGAAAACGTGCGCAAAATCGAGACAGAGTTGAAGACGCGTCACAAGAGCTCAAAGACGCTCTATCGCTTCTACGGTTCATCAAATTCGTCATTATAACTTTGGGAAGGGAAGAATGACGATGCCGTACGCGGCGAAACGGCAGACGTCGCAGAAGCCAATGTGCTTCACGTTGATCTGGACATTTATGATGCGTTTAGGTGCGATCATATGATAAATGTAGAACACGCTGTATCCCCTTCTTTTTCCTTTTTATTTCCACTTTTTTTTTCGTTCCATCATCTTCCTATCATCGAGATAAGAGGCAATATAAAAGCTATGCTTTCGATTCGATTCTCTCGAATACGTTCTTTTTGTGATGTGCCGTATGTGAGAAAACTCAATGACGATCGTGATAGCAAGTGAAAGACGGACTAAAAGACTAATAGACTAGAGAAGGGAGAGAAAGAGTCGGTTATAAAATTGAACAATAATCCCTGTGGAAGTGATAGAGAAGAGATAAATCGGCCTTCGCGGTCCAAGCGCGACCGCGCGCGTCCCCTATGCGGACATTCTCCGCGCGTTAATTCGTCCGTCCGTCCGTCCGTTTCTTCGTTCGTTCGTTTCTTCGTTCGTTCGTTCGTTCGTTCGTTCGTTCGTTCGTTCGTTCGTTCGTTCGTTCGTTCGTTTCGTAGACCAGAGACTTTCCGACATAGAGAAGCATAAAGGCAAACGAAGACAGATGGACTGACGGCAAAAAGGAAAATAATACGTAAAAGAAGAAAACCATAATATGAGTGAGATGACGAGCGTGGAAAAGCAACAAGAGCACCAACAACAGCAGCAACAGCAGTACGTTGGTGGCAGTTCCAATTCGGAATATCACTGCAAAGATTGCGATTTGTATTTTGAGAGCGATAAGAGTCTCAGGGTGCATTTGTGTTATCATCAAGAAAATCTATCTACGCGTTGGGCAAGCCAAGCTCAACAGGAGGAGAGTAATAACAATAATAGTAAGGCTGGTAATCATAACAGTGGTGGTCACACGAACGTTAAACGCGACAGCGTAACAGCACCAACGGACTCGTGCGAGTCCTCTTCGACATCGCCTTCCCAGGAACCATCGTCCTCGCACCACCAACAGCAGCAGCAGCAGCAGCAGCAGCAACAACAACAACAGCAGCAGCAGCAGCAGCAGCAGCAACAGCAGCCGCCGCCGCAGCCGCAGCAGCAGCAACAGCAGCCGCCGCCGCAGCCGCAGCAGCAGCAACAGCAGCCGCCACAGCAGCAGCTGCCGCAGCAGCAACAGCAGCTGCCGCAGCAGCAGCATCAAGAGCAGCAACAACAGCAACAAACGAGTCAAAGTTATAACCATTTTCATACACCAATGTACAGTGAAACAAGTTACTTTATACAAAACGACTCGGCCTATCTCCTTTCCCAACATTACTCATCACCTCAAGACGACGTTTCGAACAATGCCGGGGTTACTGGTGGTGGAGGGTACTCGCGTTTCCACCCGTATCAACATCAACAACATTTTCCAACGGAGCGTACCTGTTCGATGAGCTCGACGAGCCCGCAAAGTCCGCCGGTTCAGTGTGACAAGTGCGGTGCCGTTTACGAGGATGCAAATCAACTCGGCGAACATGTCAGAACGAGTCATTCGAACTCGCCTAATATTTATCCGGGTCAACCGCAGTATCAACAATTAGGTGGGAGTCCTCAACAGCAGAATCAACCGCAGTTGCATTCTTCCCCGACTCAGCCGAGTCAGCAATCGCAGCAACAACAACAGCATGGTTACGAGTATAATGGTGGACAATCGATGAAATCGGATGTGAAACAAGAGCCGGAGGAACAGGCCGAGATCCTCGATCTGGATTCTCACAAAGTTCAGACTCATAGATACGAGGAAGAATTGATAAGGCTTCATCATCATCAACAACAACAAGATTTACACATACATATACATCAGCATCCAGTACTCCATCAACAACAAAGAGCCGGATCACTTCCGGTAAGTTCTATGTTGGCTTGGCCACCGACCGGTCAACCGCACGAGTATCATCCAGGTCTTCCATCTATGGGAGGTATGGAGAACGTTTCACCAATTTCTGATCAAGGACAATTCATGCGTGGCCAACACATGCCGGTAGTGGAGTCATCTCGACACCCAGGTTCACCCATTATCACTAGCACGCAAACGATGCCGACGCATCAGTTGCCAACGACTCTATTGCAACAACCACCAAAAGCTCCCCCGTTGGCCAATCAATCGTGGAAAAGTAATGAGGCACGACGGCCAAAAACTTACAACTGCACAGCATGCAACAAGTGGTTCACCAGTTCGGGCCATTTGAAAAGACATTATAATACTACCCTTCATAAAAACGCCGTGAAACAAAGCAATCAGCCGGATCCAGCAAATTTGCCAATAAGTGCTCATCATCATCCTGGGAGGGATAACGGCGTCGGACACGGACACGGACATGGAAGTGTTAGGGGTACCGGCCCGTCGAGGTCGTCACCAGAGATATCAACCTCTGTCAGTCCCCCAAACTTGATTGCAGGTCCCTCGGGCGAGGCGGCGAGGGGCCTGCTGCACACGCCCACCACCACCACCACCACCACCACCACCACTCTTTACAACAACAACAACAACAACAACAACAACAACAACAACAACAATTCCAGCAACAGCAGCAACAGCAGCAACGAATCTTCAGTAGTAATTCTTGCTCAGCAGCAGCAGCAGCAGCAGCAGCAGCCACAGGGTTCAATGGTTCTCTTGGGCTCCACAATGTTGCCCCTCAATTCCCCGGGTCAGTCGCCAATGGCGGCGCATCATCAGCAAATGGGCTCATCACCGCCACACTTGGTTCACCATCATCATCATCGGCACCAACATCAGCAGCAACAGCAACACCATCACCAGCAGCAACAGCAACAACAACAGCTGCACATACCAATGGATTCGGGTCAAATTCACATGCACCATCCCATGAATTCTCCTATCTCAGCAATGCAGCCGCCGCCGCCGGGGCCCCATCTGAGTTCGCCTTCGCAAATGGTCTCGTCTCACCCGCACCACATGACTTCGCCTACAACGTCGGGATCGGTCCATCCAGCAATGGTTTCGCCCCCTGCGATGGGGAGTACTACGACCCCTCAACAGGTTTACCCAAACGCTTTGCCCCCCCACGTTACAACTTCTACCAACATGGGACTGCTGGAATCTATCACCATCCAACTAACTACTACTGGTAATTCGCTATTGCCGATTTCTTCGGTCGAGCAGCAGCAACAGCAACAACAACAGCAACAACAACAACTGCAGCACCAGCATCACCATCTTCATCAGCAGACCCAAGATATGTTACCCGGTTTTGGGACTTTCAGTAACCATCAAAGACCTTTGCCGAGCTTCACTCAATTCGGCATCTCCGGGTTCTTGGTAGGCCACGATCAAGTACAGGCCGTTAACGTGGGGGGGCTAAGTCCGGAGGAGAATCGATCTCCTCAAGACAGATCCTTCGAGTCTCCCGGATCCAGTTATGATCAATATAGAAATTCGTCGCCCCGGTATGAATCCTTGACGAATATGGATATGTCGACGATGCAAGTAAACACCGACGGTATGATTGTTAAACAATATGAGATCGAAAATCAACAGCAACATCTCGTGCAGCAATTACAACAAATAGGTGAACACGAACGACAGCAAATTCACGAAGCTAACAACAATCTACCGCAGCACGTGCAGGCGAAGGAAGAACTCAATCCGAATATTGGCCTGCAACTAGAAGAAAATCCAAAATCGAAGATTGCCGGCATGCTCCTGACCAAGGAGCATCAAGTAACTAGCACAAACACTGGCTCACACTACATTTCCCAGGACGGTTTACACAAGTGTATCGAGTGCGACAAAGTTTTTAACAGGGCATGCTACTTGACTCAGCATAACAAGAGTTTCCATTCGGGCGACAAACCGTTTAAATGTAATCAGTGTGGCAAAAGATTCCCCCTCGAGTACCTGCATGCGAAACACCTGCAGAAGCATGCCGGCGACAAACCGTACAAGTGCGAGATCTGTCCGAAGCAGTTTAACCACAAGACCGACCTCAGACGGCACATGTGCCTCCACACGGGAGAAAAACCATATGCTTGTGATAATTGCGGAAAAGGTTTCATTAGGAAAGATCACATGATGAAGCATCTTGAAACGCATAAAAAAAAATCAAATAATCAGAATGTTCTTCTGAGGGCGTGATTAAAGTGGATTTGCTGGCACGGTTTTCGTCAGCGACGACTACGACTACGACTACGACTACGACTACAACTACGATTACGACTACGAAGACTACGGCGACGACGACGACGAAGACTACGACGAAGACTACGACGACGAGGACGACGAAGACTACGACGACGACGACGAGGACGACGAAGACGACGACGACGAGGACGACGAAGACTACGACGACGAGGACGACGAAGACTACGACGACGAGGACGACGAAGACTACGACGACGAGGACGACTACGATGACGATGACGATGACTGCGACGGCGACAGCGACGGCGACGATTGCTGTGCCGACGCAATCAAGAAAATAAAGTTGAACAATACTAGCGAGATATTTGATGTTTTCTCAATTTCTAGAATTCCATTTGACTTAAGTATGTATTTATATTATTATTAATTCTATTAATAAGTTTTATTTCTTATATTATGTAGTCATTTATTGTATTATTTTTCGTTGGAATTTTTACAAACTTTAAGTTAAAGAATAGACGTTAGAATGCGTCACAATTCGACTTTTTATATTTTATTTTATTAGTTATTTTATTCTTCGAAGGTACGTCGAGATCCGATTTATCTTTTCTCATTTTTCTTATTTATTCTCTCTCTCTCTCTCTCTCTCTCTCTCTCTCTCTCTCTCTCTCTCTCTCTGTTTGGCTGACTGCCTGTCGTCTCTCTCTCCCTCCCCCTCTCTCCTATCTCTCTCTCTCCTTCTATCTCTCTCTCTCCTTCTATCTCTCTCTCTCTTTCTATCTCTCTCTCTCTCTCCTTCTATCTCTCTCTCTCTTTCTATCTCTCTCTCTCTCTCTCTCTCCTTCTATCTCTCTCTCTCTCTCTCTCTCCTTCTATCTCTCTCTCTCTCTCCTTCTATCTCTCTCTGTAGTTAGTACTCGGCAAAGTGATATTTATTCGTACGATGTATATCTTGACGTTCGTAATAGAATCCTTGAGAGTCGCGATATTCAGAGTCGATCGCAAATAGCTTACTCGTTTCGAGAGCAGCTCGACTCGAAAAATCGCGATCTTTTAGGACGTTTCGATTTATCCGATTTCGATAATTTTATTTTGAAAAAAGTTACTATTTGATCATTATTGATCTCTATTAATATCGACGAGACGTCAAACCTTCGAAGTTTATAGGTTGTATATAATAGATTAAATGTATAGACATATTGATTGTAATCTATAACTATCGAATTCATGAATATCATTTGCAAAGTGATATTAAAATATTAGTAATGTTAGTGTTTTACAACATACATTATAGCATACTTAAATATAGATTGATAAGATAACGTGTTAAAAAATAGGTCGAAAATTCGGATCATAAGAGTGTAGAATAATATTAATTAATAAATTTGATTATAAAATTGGATTAGAGAGTAAACCGCGTTCGTGCGATTTTATGCTAAAACTTACGATAAAAATTGTCTATGCTTAACATATAACAATATTTTACATATTTTTTATTACAGATATATAATAATTTATTGATAAACTTGTTTTGTTCAGAGAGTTTCATCTTTTTCTAACTAAATTATAACATAATTGCAGAATGATTGCAATTTGATCTAAGTGAAAAGAAATTTTGGTTCGTGATTTTGGATCTAATGTTGTTAACGATCTATTTTTTTTTTTTCGTTATTGTGATTGATCCAAAAAATTAATTAATTTTATATCTTTACAATATGCTTTTGCCTTTCTACTTAAAATCTATCTGTAAGTTATATTGATGAACGAGTTTACAAACATATTTCAACCAATTTTATTTTAGAGCTTATAGAATCGTCAATTATTTTAATATCAATTTTTCATAAAATAAATTAATCGTGACTCGTTCGATTATTGTTCCTTATTTATACTATATAATGAATCATATTAAGAAAGTTAGAATTCCAAATAGTTAAAAAATTCGAGTTGTCTTCGTTGAAATTATCTTCGAGTGACGAGTGATAGGAATAATACATTCACTTCGCTGAAATGAAATTACGTCTTGTTAAGTAATTATTTTTGTTAATCGTTGCTTATTCGATCAAGAAAGTGTTAATTATATTAGATTCCGTTGTTTCCTCTTATACATTCTCGTGCTTCCTTGTTATTTCTCCACTTTTTCTCAACCTTGTATATTTCAAAGTTACACATGTATATAACTAGGATCATTCACACTCGACCTTTCACATTTTATTAATTGTTTCATTAGGGTCGAGCTATACTGGTAATATAATTTGTACATATTATATTATAGATATATATATATATATATATATATATATGGTATATGTATATACATATATATATATGGTATATGTATATACATATATATATATGGTATATGTATATATATGTATACATTCATGCATGTATATATAAATATATATATATATATGCATGCGTATATATATATATATATATATATATATATATATATATATATATATATATTTGTATGTGTGTGTGTGTATACGTACATGTATATATGCAAAGATAATTGAAAGCAAACAACGTTAAATCCTCTTACATTTTTTTAGTTATAATTATAGTAAAAAAAACAATGAGAAGCGAAAGCGTTGATGAATAATATAGAATTCTTGCCATTTTTACTATGTAATGACACCCAGAACAGACTACCTCAATGATCAGGTATTTAACGATGAATGAAAGAAAGATAGAAAAGTTAAAATAGCCAATGCAATAATAATATTAATATTAATAATAATAATAATATAAAAAATCGAGCGAAGCGTACATTTTTACTAAGCGGTGCGAGAACACTTTTTACATTTTCTTCTTTTTATTTTTTTTTGTTTTTTTTTTTTGTTTTTTTCGTTTGTTTTTTTTTTATATAACTATTTACTGTTGTTCTTGTTATCTCGCCAATAGAATTATAAGGAAGAATAAAAGTCTTTGAATAAAAATTAAGATTTTCTATAACCTTTAGAAATTCGTTTGAAATTAAATGTCTTCGACAATGATTCTCACTGAGAAAGTTTAAAATTTGTCTGAGCCATCTTAAATGTGTAATATTTTACAATAGACTATCTTCAATTCAAAAGATAAAATAACTTATAAATGTTTCTCTTTTGACTAAGTAATTTTACTTCAACTGACATTAATCGTCTTTCGTTTGTTCCGAGAGAATGAATTAGAGACTAAAGAAAAGAAAAGGTAAGAAAAATGAAAAAAAAAGAAAAAGAAAATAAGAACACTCTTTCCTCTTTAACTTCTTTGCACTGTGTTCCTCGAAATCGCCCGCCGATCATAAAATCTTGTAATAAGCGTAAGATAGTAGAGTTGTTCATATAAATTTAATATAGAGCGAGAGGGACTTGGTGGCGGGAGGGGTGGCTTAGGCGGAGAGAGAGAGAGAGAGAGAAGAAAGAGAAACACAAAAAAAAGGCGGATGGCATAGAACAACGTAAATTTTAAAAACATATCAACAGTATTACTGTAAACTCCCATTTAATTATTAATTATAACTGATACGTTACTAAGGACGCATATATGGTAATGAGTCAAAAGTGAGAACGATCATTATATACATATTTGTAATTCATATCATTATCATATTCTTCATGCAGAGTTTTTAAAAAGATGAAAGCGAAAAATAAAAATCTAACGAGGAGAGGAACGTCATCCTTCTTCTTTTCGTTTAGAATCATGCGAGCGAGCGAGCGAGCGACCGAGCGAACGAGTGAAAAGAGATATTCATTTTTGTTAATAAGACGACAAAGCGCCGACACGAAAGTTGTCATTGATATTTCGAGTGTTTTTAACGCAAAATTACTTATTGCGTATAATATTATATTAATTAAATTACCAATAATATTGTCGTCGTCGTCGTCGGCATCATCATCGTTATTATTATTATCAACTACAAGAAAAAGAACGAATCGTTGATATCTACTCCGCATTCCGTTCGATCGTGCGTGGTTGTGCCAAATACGATATGTGAACAAAATTGTTCTCGAGTACGTCCTCGAGAGAAAAAGAAAGACAATTAACGCGTAAAGAAGAAGAAAAGGGAGAAGACGGAAAAAAAAATAAAAAATAAAAAGAAATGTGTGTGTGTGTGTGCGTGCGTGAGCGAGTATCCGCGTTTATTGCGTTTATTGCGTTTGCGTCAGAAAAAAGCAAAATAAGGAATGAGAAGAGATAAGAAAGAAAGATGTATTATTACCTTTTCGTTTTTTTTTCGAAATAATCCCGATGCATGTCTAACTACGATTCGTGCCATGTAATGAATTGTGAAATGAAAACCAAGAGAAAACGCGCGCCGCGCGCCGCGGGAAAGAGAAAGAGAAAGGAAGAGAGAGAGAGAGAGAGAGATAGAGAAGAGGAAAGGCGTTCGATTTATCATAAAGAAAATCAATTTTAAAAACCCATCGTCAAAATTACGAAAAGACGACATAATAGATCACGCGGTTTCTGTTCCTTTTTTATTATACGTATTTTGTAATGCTCGATCGATATAATAGTCGTTTCCCCGATGTTTGCTGTTAAATGCGCAACAAAGAAGGCAGAAGCGAGATTAATAAAGAGAAGTGATAGAAAAGAATAAAAAAAAAAAAAAAAAAAAAAAAAAAATAGTTGCAGAATATATAAAAAATATACTATTACTGTGTATATTATTTTATATAAATTTAATTTTGTTTTCATACATAAATATATTTTATTTGTCAAACCTTTGTGAACCTTATTTTAGAATTGTCCACTTGTTGCTTGTATAAGCCGCATTGTTCTTTTTACCGGCCAACATGGTCTTTTCTCGTAAAATTTGTTATAATTTAGATCCTTCGTTCCTTTTTTCTGATACTTCGATTAATTTATTATCAGCCGAGGTATTGATTACGAAAGAACGGGATTCATTAATATTCGATTTCGATATTAATTTAACATTAATTTTTTTCTCAAAAGTTCGACGACCGGCACAGAACGAGTCTTCTCATGATCGCGATAGGATCGATCGCGTGAGAATAAAATTTCATTTCCGAGATCATAGCCGCGCTTGTAAAGATTAAAATAGAGAGAGAGAGAGAAAGAGAGAGTGAGTGAGTGAGTAAAAGGACGAGCGCCGTTCGAACCCTTTCACGGCCAAAATCGCGATGTACCTTCCATTTCTACTTGTTTGTACGAGATACT